ATCCAGAGCATCCATCTCCATGCCTTCATCGTCGGAAGAATCTTCATCCGTCGAGAAACCGTGCAAATAAACCTCTTCATCTTCGCCATCCTGTCTTGTGGCTACCTGAATTTCAGCTTCCTCCTCATCGTCACCCGAACTTTCTTCAGACGGTGTAGCAACCTTCTTTTTCTTTGGTCCTGCATCTTTAGCCACCTTTGTTTTAGAGGAGTGTGTTTCTGCCTTTTGCCTCTTTGATGACACTTCTTGAGTGGAATCTGGTTCCTCACGCGTTCTCTTTCTTGTTTTAGACAAAGATTTGGAATCTGAGGTAGTCAATAAATCTCTGGAATCCTCTTTCTCGGAATTTAATTGGGATTTTTTGGTCTTTGACTTTGAAGCCTTCGAGTCTGTGGCCGAAGGAGGCATCTCATGAACTGGCTCTATCGATTTTGGTTCTTTCGCTCCCTTCCCTTTGCCTTTTTGTCGAGTTTCTTTGGATTCAGAGTTCGCCTTTGCAGTTATCGAAGGTGTAGGTCCACTCTTGCCTTCACTCTTGGAAGAAGAGGGTTCCTTTTTAGATTTTTTAACGTCCTTGATATCTTTCCCTTCTTTTGGAGTAGTATTTGATGTCTTGGAAGGTTTTGATGAAGGGGCCATCCGAAATAATACGCGGTGGCTGAAGGGAAGTTTTCTGTTTGTGACGAGACTCGACCAGACCAATAACGACTCTGCACTCCTCTACCAGCTTCTAGCTGTCTCCACACATGATCATCCAAGTATATGAAAATTACTACTCGAAAGCTCAACATGGATAGACACACTAGGTCCATGTCCGCGTTTTCTACAAATTTACTTTATTGCCGTGGTTGCTGGGTAGATTCATCAAGCCCCGTATGCAGCTCAGGTATAGGCAGCTTTTCCGGTACGGTGATGGTGCCTGGCCCGAGCCCATGAGTCCTGACCTTGCTCGCTTGGCCTCTCACCATGTTGCCAGACATATCGCCTCCGTTTCTGCTCATGAGCGGCACTATTGCTATCGGTGCTGCTGTGATTCACAATTACTGGCGTCATAAACAGGACCTGCGAGCGGTCGGAAACACTCCCGGTCCAAGGAGTCTCATCTCATCCGTGCGACCCATTGTGGCCGTTCTACCATATGGAAAGTTGCCATTCTCCAACTGGTTTTTCTCAACTGGTCCTAACTTTTGGATTACTGAGAAACATAACAGTGAGTCGCAAGTCTGAACAAACCCCACCTTGCCTCAACTTCCAATTCAGTATTTGCAAGGGCGGGTCAAGATGTAGCTTCCGGGGTTAGTCTATTACGACCAGCTATGGGCAATCTTTCTGACCTTAGCTGCTAGCTTTCCCTTGATTATTTCGGCGTGGTAATCTTGGTAGCCGACGCAGACGTTGCGCAGGTAAGAGAAGCGCACACCATAGTTAGCCCAACTAACTTGCTTCTAGGAAGTTCTCGGAAATAGATACAGATTCTATAAGCCTATAGATCTCTATGGGGTTTTGGACCTTTTTGGGCGCAATGTCCTCACCACCGAATTCGACGATTGGAGGACACATCGCAGGATAGCATCACCCGCCTTCTCTGAGGTTTGTTATCCATGGAGATATATCATCACAACTAACAGAATTTCAGAATAACAACCGGATGGTTCGTGAAGAAGCAATTCATACCATACAGGAGCTGTTCAATTTATGGAACGGGCAAAGCTCCGTGACATTTGAAAATGTTACCGATCTATTCGTACAGGTAGGTTAATTCTGATCACAAATTATGGCTTTTATTTATTGGTCACATCCTTTTACAAAAAGATTACTCTCATTATCATTTGCTCAGCTGGTATTTATCTCATTATATGCTGAGTTAGATGGGCTTTAAATGATTATCTAGGATTTGGAATGCATGTACCATGGCGTGAATCAACGAAACCCCCTGGACATGAGCTGGTATGTAGTTTGATTGAATTGCCATATTTATCCATTCTAACGGACTCCGAAGAGCTTCAAAGAAACCATGGAGATTGTTTCGAGCGATCTGTTCATGAAGATCGCGGTGCCAGAATCTCTGATGTCCATGACTAAACGCACGGCCCGCGTTCAGCTGGCGTTCGAGGAACTTATGGTGAGTAAGAACCGCAGATCATCTCGCCTATTTTATTCAACTTATTATCAGCGTTTTATGCAAGAAATGATGAATGAGAGAGCAAAGAACTATCATGATCACAGCGACCTCTTCAGCAATCTGATGGCTGCTAATGCAAAGAATAACGAAGGCCTCAGCTTGACAGACCAAGAGGTGATCGGTAATATCTTCATCTTTCTCATAGGTCAGTCATGCTCCGTTATTTACGGCGAGTTCTTGTTAAGTGAACGATTTATAGCCGGACATGAAACAACTGCACACTCTTTGGCCTTTTCGATGGGACTGCTTGCTATGTACCCTGAAGTCCAAGAAAAGCTATACAATCATGTTGTAAAAAGTGTTTCGGATCCCTCTGGAG